TATGGACTTTTTATACTATTCCCTGTGTAAACGCTTTGTCAAAGTCCTTATTTCTAACTATAGCTGCAAGTCTTTTGCATGTTCCAAATAGAATGCTAATAAGGAGCCTGAAAATGTTTGTCCATTCATTTTTGCAAAATACGTAGCTTGAGCTCACTCGCATTGCACTGAAAGTGTCTCTAAGCAGAAGTGTTCTAGTCTTGCCATAGATTCTGAATGAAATTTGCTGCCTGAATTAAAATGAAATGTACCAACAGATGGCTATGCTTTGATCTTAATTACTTTACTGTAGCGCTGGCTCTATGTTTGCATATTTTAAGTTTCTGCCAGCCATAATGTTTGCAAGTTGACTGAAAGCCTGGTGTTGAACAGAGCAGCTTCTTTCACATGCTTGTATCTCCTATGGGATCATTTTTATTGGTTTTCTCCTTCTTGTTCTCCCACAAAGGGAGATTTGTGCTGCGAATAATTGTCTCCTTGATAGATTCTCACTCTTGAGCTTTGCTGCAGCTCCTCCAGAGTTAAAATGGTCATCTTATCCTCTTCTAAGAGCTACTTGTCCAAATTGTTAACTAAAGTGGTTACAGAAGAATTATTTATTTTTTTTAACTTTTTTCTGCGTTTTCATTCTGTTTCTCAACTGTGCGGCATTGAGTGAAGTAGAACTTCAGATGTTTATGTATAAAACATCAATTATGTTAAGAAACTACAATTTGTGTTTGGTTTTTCTACAGATTATCACTCCTGTAGGACTTGCAGATATATCGAAGGTGAAATCAGCCACAATAGGTGATGTTTGTGATTCTATGAGGCAACAACTCTTGGTTTTGGTGGAATGGGCCAAATATATACCTGCCTTTGGGGAATTGCCACTGGATGATCAGGTAAATAAAAAATAAAAAAAGATTTATATGAGCTTTAGCTGGAATTAGATCTGCTTGTACTTAGTCATAATCCAGTAATGATATGTCATAAATCAACACACAAAAACAAATACACAAGAACAAATTTAGAACCTATAAATTCATCAGAAAACATTTCTTTTTAGGTCTTATCTAGCTTTACCTTTTTGGGTATAAAAAGAAAAATGGGCTTCAGGTATTGCGGCATAGCAGTAGCCAGTAGGACTATGTTGTATGCCCTAAAACTCAATCAGTGAGACAAACAATACAGTGCTTAGTACTATATAATGAGTATTTTGTTATAAATGCTCTAAAGAAAAGAGAGCTCTTTGTATTTTTTACTGTTAATTTGGCCTATATTTATGTCTTTTTCCAGGTGAGCTTGCTCAGGGCTCATGCAGGTGAACACCTCTTGCTCGGGGTTGCCAAAAGGTCAATGCCATTTAAGGACTTCCTCCTTTTAGGTAGAAAATAACCACTGCATGTCTTTTTTTTTCCTCTACAAAATGGTGTAACCATGTGTGTCAGGACCGCTATATTAGACTTGAGAATGATTAACTAAAGCTTTCATTTTGTTTTACATGTCACTTCTAAGGTTATACTTTGTAAAACGAAAACATCATTAATTACGTAAACAATATAGTGAGTACACAGTTGTCATCTACAAACACTTAAGCATATTTTCTGCATTATTATACATCTTGGTTCTTACAGATTACTATTTAACTTTTCAATAGGACCTTTCAAGCTATAACAATTCACACACACACACCAGTGCCCAACCCATACTTGCTCAAATACCTTTCTATCCCTGTCAACTCCACTAACTGTGTCCACTGTTCCTGCAGGTAATGGCTGTGTGATACACAGGAACAGCCCCGAGTCGGAGATTTGCAGGGTTGCAAACAGAATTTTAGACGAGTTGGTCCAGCCTTTCCAGGATATTCAGATAGATGACAACGAGTATGCAGCTCTAAAGGCAATTGTCTTTTTTGATCCAGGTAAGGAATAAATGAAACCATGAGGCATCATCTGTAATGATATAAAAATTGTATTTATGCTAAGGATAAATTACACACAGGTTGACTAGTTTAACCAATATTTTTATTCCAAATGCAGGTGGTCACTCTTGATTAAAAGGAACCAAATATCACATCCAAACCTTTTTTTATTTTTATACTGTAAATTGCAAAAAACAAACAAAAAATAACCCTAATTTTTTTCAGAAGTCCTTCCACTGCTGAATTATACACACTTTAATAGGTCTATAATATTAAACACAAATATATACATTATATATTATATTAATTATGATTTAGTGTTTTATTTTTTGCATTATTCATGGGAAATTTGATGGAATTGCAGAGTATATTTGATGTTTCTGCATTTTGTGCCACTAGATGTCACTGCATATTGCTTAGTGGATCTATGCAGCAAAAACATTGATGTCTTCTAATCCTGTAAAGAACTTAAAATGTAATAAAACATGAAAAAAAGACAAAGCATTATATTCAGTATGAAACTGAAACAAGTTGTAAATCAATGAATGATATAATTTAATGATGGTACAGCTTTACAGGTAAATAACATAAAAAAAGGAAGCATTCCTGATAGTTTAACAAAAGTCCATTTTTTATTTCAGTTTTGTTTCCTCTTATAGATATACTCTTATCACTATATTTCCTATTTATGAGCACTATCACTGCCCTGATCTTATATAACCCATTTTTCTCTCCTGTAAATCCCCTAATTTTCCCTCCGTGCACCAGTTTAACTATAATCGTTCTATCAGTTCCACTCGTAGCCTTGATTTTATCCCCACTATTTCGTTTTTTTCCTCTCTCTCAGTCCTGTCCTCCCCCACCTCTATGTACTCTACCAGTCTTTTTAATTTTTTTCTTTCCAATCTCCAGATGCTAAGTCTTTGCGGGACCCTACAAAAATAAAGACAATGCGTCTTCAGGTAGGTCAACTTTTTAATCTTCAATTTATTGTAAGACTGCAGCTTCATGTATTGCATTTTATAGGGAATTTTAATATCAGTATTAAGGACATATCTTTTGCATGCATTTTACTTTACACATTGAAAGCATTGCTTTAGAATTCAACTATAAATGTGGAGGTTACTACTAGCGATTGGTGTTTACTGTGTGTGTTTGCAGGTTCAGATGAGTCTGGAGGACTACATTAATGACCGTCAGTATGACTCCAGGGGTCGTTTTGGAGAGCTCTTACTCCTGCTTCCCACCTTGCAGAGCATCACCTGGCAGATGATTGAACAGCTCCAGTTCATTAAGCTCTGTGGCCTGGCCAAGATAGACAACCTGCTGCACGAGATGCTGCTGGGAGGTAGGGCTGGGCAAGTGATTGCGCATGTAATTCTGTACACAAATAAGATGACCTTCAGCAAAATGACTGCTGGAACCTCTGAGGGGGTGAATGTGGGGAGCCACATTGAGAGATTGTAGGCACAGAAAAGTATACTCACTCAACAAAGTTGCCTAGGACATGTAAATATATAAACAAAAACAAAAAAACAGTGCAGAAGAACGGTGTATCTTTGCATAGCTCTCATGTATAATAGGCAAAGCAGAAATAGACCTACTTTGTCGCACAGTTGGGATACGAGGGACATTTGCACACATATCTAGATGTGTATAAATAATAAGCTAGAAAGCATCAGATATATATTTTAAGGAGGGCTATGTCATCCAGTTGAAACATCATTTGAAGTTTGATGTAAAAAGTCATCTGAAAAAAAAAAAAAAAAAAAACAATGGTAGAAAAAACAAAAAACAAAACCTCATGGATATAAAAACCTGACTTAGATGACAGTGTATAGGAAGAGAGGTATTTTCTTGTCAGAATTTGGAACGACCTCCAACAAGAACTGCAACTAAAACAACAAACTTTATCCTATTCAAATGTTGTTGGAATAATATTTTTTTTTAGATCTAAGATATGCAGGTTTTAATGGTGCATTTTACTGTTAACAGTTAAACACATAAGTATTTTATCATAAATAAATAACATCTATATTAGGATTGCATTTTCATTGCCTTGCTACAGTATCTATACTCTTTGATCATTCCCCCAACAAAGAGGTGGATAATGGTGAAATGGACATACTCTATACTTTGTAATGTTTTTCAAGAAAAATAATCCGGCATGCATTTCTATTCAGGCCTCCAGGCTGTATACGTACCAAACCCACTTATCGCCACACTTACAGCTGGAAGTTGTTGAGGTTGAACTTTAAGAGAAAGGATTTTTTTTTCTGCTCCTCCTTTAAAAGTAGTTCAAAGTTCAGCCAAACTGTATCGAGTTTCTGTGAACATCAATTTTAAAGTCTTGCCGCAGATTTTCATATGGATTTCAGTCTGAACTTTGGATTTTCCACATAAAAACTGCTTCCACCGCAAAGTTTCGCTTTGGGGTTCTAGAGATAAAGAAGTATTTGTTGAGGTCATTGGACATGTCTTTCTAGATCTGCAGTTGTAAAATACTTTATTTTCAGATGGTTGCCAAAAGATGTTCCGATCTTGGGATATTTTTTAAAGCATAGCCAAGCTTTAAACATCTTCAGAATCAAATTCATGGGTCCAGAATAGTTCTTTTTGTTTTTGCAAAGGAAAATAGGGTTTGAGCTTTGATGTAACAAGCTTACAAAACCGATGAATGTGAGTGTATTGACCTGAATAACGAGGCTGACAATGAAATATTTAGCAAGGTGCTTATTCATCTGGTTATGTACATAGCAAACAAACAGAAAGCCAAATATATATGCTTTTTTATGTGATATATGTTCAGGGCTAACAACAGAATCCAGCCATCTTCATCACCCAGCACACACCCAGCTGGCCCAGGACCCTGTGACAGGACACACCCTAGTCATCAGCACCATGCCAGTCACTCAGATTCCACAGATAGGTAAAGATTTAAAGAACAAGTGTCAAAAAATGCTAACAACCCCAAAAATGACTAAATATTCTTAAATTTCTTCATGCCTTTCTCTCATTCTGCAGCTTCACCTGAGACTCCCATGCCATCCCCACCACAGGATCCTGCCACAGAAATGTACAAACGTTTTCCTCAGCCTCACAATGCTACTGCCAGCCCTCCACCGTCCACAAAAGCAGAACCCTGACTCCTTCCTATATCATATCGAGTAGTTTCTCAGAGGATCAGTTTTCTCCTTGTCTGTAGTTTATTATAGTGATGCAAAAGCACTCCTTATTCAGTAGGTGTCTTAAAGACTTCCCACTGCCTATTCCCAGTGTTGCTGTTGGTATTGCGGCAACAATGGCCTTGGAATAATTGGCTGCTCTTCAAAAGTAAGCTTTTATTCAAATTGAAACCATCACAAGTCTACATGTTTCAACAAGAGAGCAGACACAGGGGCTTCGGCTGTAATGATCAGAGGGCACAGAGCAATTCAGGGGCTCATTTAGGCTCCAGCTGATGCTCTAACCTGCTCAGACCACTCGGATCATTTCCATAGTCATCTCACAGCGGCAGGGATGATGTGTGTGAGTAAAGTATAATGACGGCACAGCAGTAACTTCATTATTCGAACAGCCCGACATGACAACAAGCTCAGTCATCTGAAAAACTTTACGTAAACTGTATCGGAGCAACTACTGCTTACCTTTTACAGGTTTAAAAGACAAACCTTCCAGGAAAAAAAAAAAAAAAAGGCAAAATGATCTTATTTTACCCATTACATGTTTGATTGAATGTATTGAATGGAGTAGAAAATGGAGAAGAATAAAGGAATAAAAATTATTCTGAGTGAAAGTCATAATAACATGTATTACATTTAAAGCAGAAATCTCCATTTGGCCATGTTTGAATTATCTTAATAAATATTTGATCATCTACCTTCTACTCCAATGTGCCTTAAAACAAGGAGAGCACAGGAGTGTCTCAGCAGTAGAGTTTTTTCAGATGATTTGATTGACAGTAAATATCAGAGGAGCTGTTGTTACCCACAGCCAGTCTGCCTCTTTGACTTCTTTGTGCAGCAAACCTAATTTAATTCGGATTCTGACTTGACCCAACCCATGACTAAAAATGCTCTCAGAAATGTATGCAATTTAGTTTTGGAAAAAAGCAAAATAAAACAACAGTTTAACATGGAACAGAGTATTAGAAACAGTTAAAAATAAATATGGATAAAATAAATCATAACAGATTATGCTGCCCTTATTGGTAAATTATTCTTCTTTTTTCATTCTGGCAGGTAAACAGCACACACAAGAGACTAGCTGCTAACAATAGAGTCAATTTTCTATATAATTATACTAATAGCATAATATATGGAGCAAAAATTCTGTACAGTTTTTAAGGATACTTTTTTATTTTATTTTTTCATATCTCAATGTAAATAGTAGCACCCAGTTTGAATCAGATGCAATGATATTCCTGCTGCTGCATCACCATTTTAGTGACTGTGTATTTTGATATACACAGCCAAGTTAAAATAACCTAAGTTCGGGTAAAAAAAAATGCTGCAGTACATTCCTTTTTCGGAAATTGGATTGTCACAATTTAACCTTTTGTTCATTTGTTTCCTTCCCACTGTTTGAATCCACTATATTTACACAGACAAGTGCACCCGGTTTTCTTTGTTTTGGTGTTTAATGATGATAAACAGCAATGAGGGATTGTGCCCATATTCCGTCTAAATATGAAGCTATGATTTTTGTTTTGTTTCATGGAGTTTAGCACACTAAGGTAACTGCAAGTTTGAGGAAATTGACCATCTATTTTTAGATTTAGGGTTGGATTAGTCCTTCGTTTTTTTATGGATATTACTGCTCTTTATACACATGGGATTAAAATACAAATCATGTTATTAAATGTTCTACTTGGGATTTTCTGTTTAAGTAGATTTGATCTTGATAAAATATTTATGTCTTATTAGGAAGATTTTTGTTTATCAATTTATCGCATATCGACTGTATATAGGCTACATATACATTTAAACTGCATGTAAACATCACATGTATCAGACTAAATTATTGAAGCTGTGTTTGAAAACAGAATCATGTAAACTTAAAAAATAAAATTCTGTTGTTTCTATTAGTTCTTGAGTTATGAACATGCCTAACTTACAGGGTGCTACATAAATATTGCTTTTGACTTTAGCAGCTAATATTTCCCACAATGAGTTAGTGGCAAAGAAAACAAAAAGATAAGAAATATATTACTGATTAAGTCTAAAATGCAAAATGAAATTGTATTAACTTTAAATAAGCAAACTCGTTTAATGTAAATTCATATCTGATCACTTTTCAGTTAAGCCATCAATTAAGCTCTTCAGATTTATTACATTGTATTTAAGTTTTGTAAACAATTCCATTTCCAACATGAACCACTGATTACAACAACCTCCTAGAATTATATTTTTATGGTCATTAATAGTCGATGTTTTGTATTGATGTGCCAGATATTGTAAAAGATTCCTTTTCAGAGACTAAAGTAGTTGCATAAAGGAATCTGTCTTAAATTTGGGAACATTGTTTTACCGTTTCAAATATAATGTTGAAAGTTTTTAAACAAGAACACCAGTGCAGGCTTATTTCAATTAATGTAACAATTTTTTTTTTGTAATTTACCTTGACTTAATAGTAATGTGCTTGGGTAAAAAGTATTATCGAACAATATTATAATAATAATATAGAAGAAAGCAGATGGTGGCTAATTCTTTCCCAAGCAGGTAATGGCTTCAAAAAGTATGTAAACATGTCTCTATTGCTTTCAGAGAAAGATTAGTAAGTTAAAACATTCAGAACTGTGACAAACAGGAATGAATGGGGACCCACATTTATCCCCTAATAACACACAGTGAATCAGGATGATATGGGAGGTTTAACAAAATCTTCAAACACAAATTAAATCCAAAAAAAGCAAATGGTGGAAACTTTGGGATGCATATGTGAAAGAGATCTTTGATGCTATTGGCCTGTTTCTGCCCCAAGAAATGTAACAATCAGGCCATGTTTATTTCCGGATCACACATAGTGAGTAAGATGGTGAGTGAGGTAAAAAATAAAACAAACAATGCTATCTTTTAGAGAAGGCTTTTTCCATTTCGGGCGTTTTATAATGTTCACCTTCATAAACTGTATTATCCATTTTCATATAAAAAAGGTTTATAGATAGATAGAAAAACAGATTTGTGTTGCTTTTCTTAAATGCCACCCACATATTCAATACTTGATTTTAAAAGAAGAAAGAATCAAGGCAGAAAGATGATGACAAATTGACAGAAATGTATTTCAAAATGCTCTCCTCACATGCTATAATACACCGTATGGTTTGTCTATTATTTTGCGCATGGAAGCCATCACACACCGCCATAGCCCCATTGGTTCTGGATATAGACTTTGTATACAAAGCTTTGCTGGTGTGCAGTTGAGACCTCACTGCCAGACGTTACTGTTCATCTCAAATCAAATCGTATTTCCCTCCTGCCCATTTGATAAAAAAAACACACTTGGCGACAGGCATGGAAACCAAACTCGAACATAAAATGGTCATTTATACTGGAACAGGCCCAATGTTTAAAATCTGGGATTTCGTTTACATCAATCCCTGCACAATCATTCTCTGTCATTTTCTTTGGATTTATGTTTATGTGCGAGCTTTGGCTTGCGACGGATGAGATAGAAGGATAAAGCTGAGAGCTCTTATGCAGTGTATATTGCTATGTGACTAGGAAAAAAAAAATCTTGGTATTTATGGCGGAGGAGATGATGTTGTCTAGAATCAACATGACCAAATCCTTCTATCAACTCCATAATGGACAAGCTACCTGGCTTAGGTCAAAACAACACCACCTACAGTGGGGAGATGTGTGTAGGTGCATATACAGTACGTGTGCATGCGCCTACCTGCAATTTATTTATAATCTGAGAGCCTGCATGTACACACACTTTCACAAGTGTGTGTTTGGAAGTGTGTCCATGTGTGTGTACCCAGAGAGCTTTAATCAAAGGCCTATACTGAGGAGATGTGGGGGCCTGTCTCTCTCCTTTCCCTCAGATAAAACTGAGTGTTAGCATGCCAGTCACATATCTCATCTGAGACGCGCCGCTCTCCTCCACACACCTCACTGCGGCCCACACTGACAGCACGCTATTACACACCAGTATGATGCTTGCTTCACCTGAGGAGGATGGCAAGGAGGAAAAGATGGAGGGATAAAAGAACAAAGGATGGACAGAAATATGAAATATCTTTTTTTTTTTTTTACTTTGCCTGGTTGATCATAGGTAGGATTTATTAACAGTTATATTGTCTGAAAAGATCCCAATCATATATTTGGCTGAAGGTAGCAGTGGTTTTTACTTATTTTTTCCATCTTCAGCCACTTTGAGATTCTTCTTCATCTTTGAAGTAATCTAAACCTAATTGTTAAACATATAACTAAATGAACCTCTACTAGTAAGAGATGACTATCATGATAATTTAGTGAGTACCAGCACATTTTGCAACTTTTCTGTACATATAATCTTGTATAAAGAATTATGTAGAGTGTAAAATATGACCAAAAAACATTTATTTCCATTTCTCAATACACCCTAATTAAAATAACTATTTCTGATATCCACTAGATGGCAGTGCATGTCAATGATTGGTAGGTAACATGGCATATTAATGGCTTTTATGTTCTTTGTCAATCAACTTTGACCTAATATATAAATGAATAAATATTCAACATAATATGTTGGCTACAATTGTCAAACACAAGAAGATTCAGTATACATACCAGTTATGAAAAAAAAAAGAAACAAAAGACAAGGAAAACGATTTGTCATTTGAATTGTGCAACTATTAATTTAAAATAAAAGGATCCTAATTGGTAGTAATATATTTATGATAAATGTTCAACATTTGACACATTTTAAAGAGAGAATTATTCAAAATGTTGCAAAGTCACTTGTTTTCTCTGTGCTTCACCAAACAATGGAACACTGCAACGGTCTGAAGTGAATGGCATGTGACAGCGACCCCAGATTACAGCCAGAGATCGCAGACTATCACTCCCTGCCACTGCATTTACCCATAATTCCCCCTATGTCTCCAACATATCCAATGATTCCTCCTCCAGGAGACAAGGTGAGATGGTATGAATCTTTACCTCCAACTATTGGAGTGAATTTAAAAACCTCTCCTGAGTGATTTTCTGTGTCTCTGTCCTGCGTCTTCGTATGGCTTGAATAAATGTGTGGTTTCTGATTACAACACAGGACGGGTGAAGGAAGGAAAACAGGGCGACAGCTTCATTTTAAAAGCTGAGTTCACGTAAATGAGGGATTAAAGCAAGCGGCAGGGTTGAGGGTTCGCTTCGACGTTCGGTGACAGCTTTCCTTCCTTAAAATCCTTTTTCTTCTTTTCTCTGACTACACCTTCAGTTTAACCATTCTGTCTGTTCTATTTATTTTACGATTCTTTTCCCTTTTTTGGTTGTCTTGTTACAACTCCTTTTACATCCAGAGATAATCCATGCAGATAGGCAAAGGTAAAAACTGCTTACTGAACAGTTGGCTACACACATACATACACTGTAATTTACATAGGTGCAGGGAGCTAAGGTGTACTGTGCATTATGTTGATGGGGAAAAGGTTAGAGCAATGAAATTAGGGGTTAGGGCCATGAGTGTGTGTTTGTGTGTACTTGCTGGGTTACATTAGGGAAATGAAAAGGGGTGGACCACTGATAGGTTCAGAGATGCAGACTTGTTAGAATAAAGGAAAATGAAAAGAACATGGGACAGAGGAGATGACAGGGTGCATGATAAGATGAGTCGAGAAGTAATAAAATGCTCCTGTGTACCCCAAGATTACACAGAGAATGAGATTGGAGAGAGAAAAGGGAGAGAAAGAAAGAGGGGTGGAGGGTGTACTGTAGAAGAGGGGATGGGGTTGCAGGGTTTGAGAAAAAATTGAGAAATATGGAGACTCATATATGATGAACCATGGTGAAAGTCAACTGGAACAGACATAGCGAGCTGGCGTTAAAGGGGAGAAAAAAATGGAAGAAAAGAGAGTGGAGAGTGAAGAAGAGAAGAGGTATTACAACTCGGTGCGATGCAGCCCCGCTCTGAATGATAAGTGTCCCGCGCATTCTGGGTTATGGGAAGTTCACACAAACAAATGACTCCCATTTACCAGAGGCGAGGGACACAATCGAGAAAGAAGGGATGCGAGAGAAAGGGAAAGAAGGGAAAAGAAGGTAGAGGACTGAATCCTAGAACCATGATTTTAGATTGCTCCATCTGCATTGAGAGAAGTCATATCTTTATGTTCATCTAATGTTTTTATTGGTTTGCTGTAGACACTGAGCCTGCAATTCAAAAGACAGGATGAAACCTGTAGAGAAAAGGAGCATAAGATTCTGCTTGGTATCTTAGATGATTGCTGGCCATTGGACCATGGTCAATAGTAGTAAATGCATTGCAAATTCTTCCACCTAGGTGGATTTTCACAAAGCAGGCTTAAATTGGGAAACCAGACTTTCACCCAGTAAGGTGGGCTTTGTTTTACGGAATAAGAGGCCCTATCAGACGGTAATAAAAGTGGATGGATGCTGCCCTGATTTAATGCAAAAAGTCCTAAATTGCTTGTACAAAGAAAAGATACACATGCAATTTGTGTGTTGCTGGTAATCTACAAAGATTAGGGGAGCAATGGATAGCAGGTGTGGGACTAATTTCGGACTTTCCTGTTTGGGTGGGGAATTTGCATGTGCTATAGGCAGTTCAGGTAAACAGTGTGGCTGTAAACGAGAGATGATGTTCAAAGCCAGGAAGTAGAAACTAACAATGATAATATTAATAAACTATGATTTTATTAAAACAATGATTTTGATAGGAAAAAAAGTTAAATATATTCTAGGTAGACAGACAGATTTGTCAAAAACGGTATATTTAAAAATGACGGATTGG